GTAGGACTCTACTGAATTCTGATCGAAGAAAGATCAGATGTCGATTTTGACATCATCATAGTTAGGATGAGCTTTCTTCTCTAGGAGATGGTTTGGAGAGGGGAGCAGAAGGGCATTATTTGCACGAGGTCAGGGCTATAACGTGAATACGGAAGAACTCTCCGTCCCAGAGTCTCGAAATTTTCCTGAATTTTCTTAGCAAGAGGTTTTTCAACGGTGTCATACAAAAGCAAACTTTGCCTTGTTTTTCTTTCGTATTAAAGCGTTGCATTCGAGCTGTGGATAGTTGACTTTCGCGTTGACTGCGACATCTACACGTAGGGGTTTCCAGAGCTTAACTCCTCTCGTGTTCCACCAAAAATCCGAGAAGGCCCTACTTGGACGAGGTTGAACTTAAGCAGTAAGATCTCCCGAAGCGTTTGAGCTGGACTACCGCCGCTTGTTCATTTGTTAGCAAACTGTACCCACTCCTCATCTTCGGCAAATGTGATGGATGGTCAATCGTAGAATCCATAGTAAGTCGACTTGAACATAACGATGTCAGATCGTGTTTGGAGCTGAATTCGGGCTCAAGGCACGTGGGATCCAAACTCTACATTTTCGGATCTTCACAAGTCTTTGGAGATGCCACAGTGCTGTCTCCCATCGATACTCTATCCAGATCCCTTTTCAACAGCGTCAGATAGAGCATCGTGATTGTCAGTCACAGGGTGGTTGGAGTGTGGGTTATTTTCAAATAAAAAAGTCAACGCTGAGCAGAGTGAAGCGCCGTTGCACTGTGGTTTGAGAGAGCGTGCCCTCGCCCATCTTCTGGCCAATCCTTGGTCTAGCATGACTTGCGGAACATTCCAAGCAGTACTCGTAAAAATTAAGGGCACGAGAGCCCTCTCGCGAAATCGGTGTAATATCCATAACAAGTAAGCAGACAACGAGCTGGACCGTTGGCTGAAATTGCAAAGGTTGATGCTACGTCAGGAAATATGTTGCGGATTTTCAGGAGTTCTCCCTAAAATTCTATAGCATTAAATGTAGTTTGTTGCAAGACTTATGGACCGACCTAATATAAGAACTTTTGAGTTGCCTAACAAGCAGTTCAAGGGACGAAGCATACCATTAGCTTATCCTGATTTTATTACGAGAAACGAGCTGATCAGCGGTACTGTGTAATTCGTCGCGCTCTATGGTTGATTTTTGTAATTGATCTAGACCAATTGGGATTAATGACAAGGGTGTGCCTGTAAACAAAAGAATTGAACGAATAGCGTCACTATTACGAGCCCAGGGTTGTACAAGAGAAGAGCACCATCGTCCTTCGCAATCAGGGTCAACCGTCCGTTAGACAAAGTCCAACGCATGGCTCTCTAGCGTGTGAGAGTAATGCCGAGAGTGAACGTACGCACGGAGA